ATTATTAGGAAAGTTATAAAAGTCAAAAATCACTGTTTTGCTGTAAAAAGTGGCCCAAAAGGGGGGGGGACGGGGGGCTGGCCGAAAAGTAGGGTAGTAGACTTACAACTAGTCTAAAGTAATCCTATTGGTAATGATCAGTGATAGGGTTTGCTTTTAATTCATATACTGTCTCATACACACTAAAGATAATATGTTTGCAGTCATCACAATTTTAGATCACAGCCAAGAAAATATGAGATTATAAGATCGCAAGATTTCTTTTTCAATTTATATGCTTCATGCGTAAAGGTTGCTTATTGGTCTTCTTATGCAGATAAAATCAGATTCAATATATGCTATAACACATCTGCAGAATACCTCATCCATCCACACCTGTACAATACAACCAAATTCTATGACATAGCCTCACCATACAACCTAAAAGTCAAGCCCAATCATCTTTATTGTCTATCTAAAGAGTCCCAGCCCCGACCACAAGGATCATCACCATATTTAGCTATGACTCTATGCCCCAGCTCAGGATCGTTAATGATGCTGATCAAGATACTCGGAGCCTGAGCCTCAACTCTAGCAAAGCGGAACTCCATCATGCGTCTTTCTCTAGAAGGTCGACTAGCTGGCAAATAACCCACATATTCAAGGTCATAATTTGTGACAGTATCGAATTATGTTCTCCAAAACTCCTCAGTCATCTTATTATAAGGTCCTTCGATATGAATGACGCGACTTTGATGTTCTGGAGTGTGTTTAACCATACCGTGATCATTGTACACGACGCAAAAATGATGATCTCGAATCGCGATACCATCTGGGCTATTATTGACTTTTGCGATGAATCGAGCAGCACCTTCGGGGTACTTGAAGACGATTTTCGCAGCGGAGAAAGGACATCCTACAACGGGACCCATTATATGAAGGGAGATTACGGAGCCGGTGTTTATAACGGCAAAGATCTCGTGATGCTTGATTTCTTCGGGGAGGTGAGTGACGAATACCGAGCAGTTGAGATTGTCCGCAAGATCCTTTATTGCCTTGGTGCCCAGACCTGTTCCCTTGTATTTTGATTGGTCAGATAGCTTTTTGCCTTGAAGAGTTTGCGTGGTAGATCCGGTGGCGGCAGCGGGCAATGAGCCTGGCAGCGTTGGGAGACCTGAATGTAGTGTGTAGACGCTGCTAGTAAATGTTCGTCTGGCCACATTTGGATTTGTCTGCCAAGGTGTCACATCGAGAGACTGATGTTTCTTTTTATCTCTACCCGACATAGCATTCTTGGTTGCGGGAACAGAGGACTCGGATTGCGCTCGGGAGTGTGCAGCATCAAAGCCGCCCCTCTTGTGGGGTGGGATATACACCGTCTTCTTTGGAGAGTCTGAGATTTCGGGCTGTGTGATTATTGTGGAGTCTGGCAGGGCACTAGATGCTCTGTCTGTGGAGTAATTGGTACTGGATTGTATGATTTGACCATCAGAATTTTCGATAATCTCGCTTTCGCTCTCGCCTCTGGTTGAGACCTTTGGGAGCACATGCAACCATGACGAACGCTGACGCGGGTAATTTACAATACTTGACATGATGTTAGTATTGCCTTGGCCCCAGAAGCAAGATTCATAGTCAATGAATCCAAATGGTAGAGAGTAGACGAACTTGAAGTTTCCAAACCGCGGATGTACCATTGGGTACATAGAGCGCCACTTCACATCTGTTATTTTGAATGACTCTCTGGTGCCGTGTAGTGTACTTTGGGTCAGGCTAAGGTCGAGGAACGATCGCATTGCTATGGGCATGCATCTTAGTAGATGCACAAAATTAGTATATCGAGAGAGCTTACTGGACTGATCACGAGTATCTTCTACGTCTTTCCCCTCGAATGCGCCATCTTGCTGATGAGCAGTGCTTGTTTCGCGTAGCAAAGTGTTGGCCGAAGAATGGTCATCACTATGTAGATCTTTTAGTGTATAAAAGGGTGCCAATTGGAGGAGCTCTTTCTGAAAAGCTAGCGAAGTTGGATCCTCCCCATGAAAAGCATTCATCTGAGGGGCGGACGACATGCCGGCTGTCAAGAAACGATGGTACAAATCAAAGGAAAGACTTGCAAAGCAGAGCTAAACAATGTACGCTGAGCGGATTAGAATTGGGCTTCTATTTGATGGCTTTAAATGTTGTTATGTGAAAGTCTTGTTCTGAGAATATGGTGTTGTGACAAGATTTTGATGAAGTTAGACGTTGTGCAGAAAAATAATATTAGTTTTCAGAAGAGGTCGAGCGAGTTCTTATATTATATTTGGAGATTGGAAGTGGGCGCAATGGCGGTACTGTTCATACATTGTTCAAAAATTTGAAGCAACTGTACTGACTGTACCAATCGTACCAATCGTACTGTTCCAACCCTGTTCTGTCTCTAACAAATCCACCATGTGCTGTGAGCTTCTATAGCCGTAGTAGAAATCGCTAGATGAATTGAAACAGGGCGATAACATCGCTGTCTGAAAACAAGATTACAGAAATTTTCAGATTTGTCTCAGCAAACTCAAGGCATCGATTCCATCCTCTACTTCCTCCAGTAACCAGTACCAACCCAATGTGGTCCAAAGCTGACCAGTATAAATGACTAATCGTCAATAAGGAGTCTTGCCCTGCAACCGACTTCCTTTTCCTCCCTCTCGGAATTTGTTGCCCTATTCATACAACCTTCGAGTGAAACAAGGGAACCCGATATCGAAATTATCTTCATGATGGCAGACGTAGGCAGTCATGAGAATGATAGCAAAAACCACATGTGAAATTAGAAAGCGCAAAATTGATGCAGGAACGTGGAGTTATTAGACCTGAGAGTTCCGTGGATTTGAGATAAAAATCCATAAAGAAAGCCATTTCAACCATCCAACCGACCAATCCATGCTAAACGTGAAAATAAAAATGGATATATACCCAATCAGCATTAAGAAAGAGCTCTCAAACAAGAAGCAAGACAGCCCTATACCTGGAACCGAGGAGTGAGACAAGAGATCCTTCTAGAAATATCGACAAATTCTCTTCCATTCCTACCCATAACTAAACTGGAAAAGAATTTTGCCGGACTTTGGCTGTGATTATCAGATAAATGGACTAGCTCTGTCGAAGAGTATACATAAGTTTCCATTAACCTGGATAGATTTTATTTTTTTCAAAATGAGTTAAGACACCCATCTATAAACCCACCAGTCCCATAAATCGTAAAATTTGGTCTGCTCTATTCATCGATATGTCCCATCGATCGATAGGATTACCCCATTAGGGTAAGGTAGTCCATCCCGTCGATGTCAACGAATGAGGTAGAGCAAATCATCCCCCTTCCACCACCCACCCCCTCAATCCACCGGCTCATCCTTAACCCTAACCTCTGCATTCACCGGATCCGCAAAGTCCCTCACCCTCCCCTTCCCCATAACCGTCTCCGCCAACACCACCGTCTCAATCCCCCCATCCCTCTCATCTTCCGGCCCCATCGGCAACGCATCAACATCAATCTTCAATCCCAGCAGACTTTTCAGAATAACCTCACTCCCCGCCTTACTCATAACTTCATTTGCATGTTTACAGTTTTCGCTCGCAACACACTCTACACACCCCTCATAACAATGACAACCTTCTATTCTCCTCAATGCCTGTTTCAGTAACAAATCTATAAACTCGAACGCCTTCGTGCTAATCCCCGATCCCGATGCGCCGCCCTTGGCATCATAGAACGTGAGACGAGCCGGTCGTTTCCGACTAGTTTCCTTTGGTGCGAATTCTTTGACCCCGATTTTACATTCGGTGCGTACATCGCCCGGCATACTGATTACGAAATTGGGCATAAGTGACAAAACCGCATGTTCGGCTGCATGAATAGCACCAGCGATATTAAGACGTCTTTCGACTAGGATCTCGAGAGCAATTTTAGGAACATCGAGCCACATTCCCTTGCTATAGAGTATGATGGGTGGATTGTCTACTTGAATGGCATCGAGGATACGACGTTTCTTATCGAGTTTGAAGAAGCCAAAGACGTTTTGTTGGATTTTGATCGCGCCGAAAAATGCACGAGAGAGAGAATTGGGAATGCGACGGATGGCTTCGGTTTCGATGGGGTCGATGTCGGTATAGTCGCGCTGCTGAGTGGTCCAGTCGACACGGACTAGCTCGACTTTCGCAATCTTTCGATCGGGGTTGAATTCTTTGACTAAATATGTGTTTCCCTGATGAAGGAAAATACCGCCATCGTAGAGGGTGAAGAATGCTCGAGATGCTTCTAATTCCTCCAATACGATATTCTTTCCATGACTGATGTCGACGATAGCGAAATGATCCTCTTCCGTATCTCGAATTGCAACCAATTTTGATGGAGTGGGTCTATATCGTTCGCTGCAGTGATAAAAGCCAAGTTCATCCTTCACCAAACGTTCTTCTGCAACCTCAGCCAAGTTCTTGGGGAAATAAACCGCATCTTCATCGGGACGAATAGGCAACTCATAGGCCGCACATTGAATATGACCTTCGAGTACCAACATATTCTGCAGATCAACCTGCAGTTCGCAATTCGGTTTCGTGAAGATTTCGTCCGGATTATTCATGTAATACTGATCACTAGGAAAACAATCACCTATCAAGACCGACAATGAATCCTTGTTTCTCCGTCCAGCTCGTCCACTTTGTTGCCGCAGATTTGCGATCGTATATGGGAAGCCAACTGTCAAAACCGCATCTAGAGATCCAATATCTACACCGAGTTCCAGAGCAGTTGTGGCAATAATACCCATCAGCTTCCCCTCAAACATTTCGCTTTCGATTCGTCTTCGGTCTTGTGGTGTGTACCCGCATCGATAGCCCATTACACGAGCCATACACTCTGGTCGTCCTAAGGTAGCTAATTCTTCTTTTACTGCACCCACTAAAGCCTCGCATTGTCTACGAACGCGGCAAAAGGCTATTACCCTGACACCTCGTAGTATTAACTGACAGAATAGTCTTGCAGCCTCGGCTCGTGTATCACCACGTCCGCTGGCAGGGTCTACAGGGTCTTTGAAAGGCGTATTCCAGCACAGAAACTCCTTCCTACCAGAAGGAGAACCATCGAAGTCTGTCATCCGTACATTATCAATACCAAAGATTGTCTTAAAATGCTCCATCGGATTTGCCACTGTGGCAGAGCAGGAAATAAATTTGATGTCTTGATTTCCCAACGCCGCACATATCCTTCTCAGTCGTCTCATAATAAAGGCTACGTGAGAACCGAACAGCCCATTGTAGACATGGATTTCGTCAACCACAACATACTTGAGATTCCTCAAGAATGAACGCCACTTGTCTTCCTGTGGAAGAATAGTAATGTGCAACATATCAGGATTCGTGAATATAATCCTACCCTCATCACGTATCATATTTCGATCCTTCATTTCCGTATCGCCATCGAACGTCTCCACAATGGCTTCCTCAAGACCAGTCATGAACCTCATCATCTCCTTCAAACTTCTCCTTTGATCTTGTGCTAGAGCTTTGGTAGGGAATATGTACATTGCTCTTGTATTATGATCTTTCTCAAGTTCATGCAAAACTGGTATCTGATAGATCAAAGATTTTCCAGAACTCGTTGAAGTCGCCACTACGACGTTATGTCCATCGTGAAGGTTATTGATAGCTTCAGCTTGGTGCGCATAGAATTGTGTAATGTTCTTAGTATTGTACAAAGCATTGACCAGACTTTGGCTCAGAACGAAATTCAAATCTCCATATAATGCTTCTTGAGGGTCAAACACACGATGCCCGTCAGGTACGATTTGACTAGTGTACCATTCGCTTTCTTTGATTTCTGTGATGATATCTGATATACTCGCTCGTTCTTTGGGTATGCTTTTTGGCAAGATACTGTAATCCGGCTTGGGTGTGCTACTTCTCGAAATTGATGGTACAGGAATCAATGGTTCCGCATCCTTTAATAAAGTTTCTTCTGCATCGATACTATCTGCCTCGCAACGATTGAGAAATGCATTGATTGCACTGACAAACTTTGTATTCCGTTTCTCGATTAAATTCATCATCTGTTTCTGACTGAAAACAGGCATCTTCAATTCCTCATCTTTTAACTTTCTGGTAGCCTTAACTGCTTCACCAGTCTTCTTGCTTTGTACCTGTCTCTTCAGATCCTCATCTATGAATTCAAAGAGCAAGACTTCCTTTCCCTCCCCATCTGCCCCTTCTCCAAACCCCAGACCCTCGCCACCCGTGAGGCCTCCCACAGACGCATCCGGGGCCGGTCCAGCAGCATGCCAATTCTTTGCCCGCCCGCCTTTAAAAGTCTCATCTCTCTCCGCGCCCCTAACATCCAATTGTAACATCGCCTCATCAACATAGGCGAAATTCATTCCACCAGGGCGCAGTGCCACTATCTGCGCAACATCCTCAATCCTCAACTCCCGCTTTATATGTCCTTCCACAGCAGACTTTAGATTATCAATTGTAGTAGCTAAATGTTTTCGCGTGGAGCAGAATGTGTAGACTAGGTTCAATGCTCTATGGGTCTTTTCGAGATTCTGAAACAAGGATGGCCATGGGATGGTACTAGTGACCGGATTTGTAAGAGAAGATGGATTTCGAGCGAGCGTAGGAGGTGGATTCCGTTTCTTTACTCGTCGCGGCCTTTTCCCACCATCATGTTCTTTCGTGGGAACAGTTGTAGTCTCAGTTGTATGAGTGACGTCTTGATCTGGCTCGACCGTGGCTTGGAGTGATTGGGTCGAGGTAGCATCTGAATTCGCGTCTTCAGCGTCTTTCCATTTTCGCTTTCTGACCATCTTATTAGATACTGTGGCAGCTTGTACTTTGGCCATTTTCGGGCAATTTTGCGATAGCTATTCCATTGTTTTCAGTCCAAATGGCTGAAACCCAAATGGGTGGCGTATTATTACAGTCGCGTCTATTCGCGAAGTCACGGGGTTGTTCTGGCCTTTGATGATTATATAATCAGAACAATACCCGTCCTCGATTCCTTCTTTGTTCTCTCATCAACCTCTCAACCTATCATGCTAGATATACAGAACCCTCGCAGAGCTGTCGAATGGTGTATCGGAGCATGTGCTCTATACCATGAGCATCTTCGTTCTCAGCATTATAAATTATATATCGGCACTGTCACTCTATTCCCTGAGCATTTACGAGTATAATTAACATACATACAAGTACACCCATTCACACACACAAATCACACACATACACCTATTCACACCTATTCACATACACCCAAAACACAACACAACAATCAAAAATCATAAATCTACGCCTCTACTAATAAACTCACTCGCATTTCCATTCCCATTCCCATTCCCATTCCCAATCCCAACTCCAAAGTATACCGGTAGATACAAAGCTAGCATATGAGAAAAAGAAAGAAAAAGAAAAACACAAGAAACAAGAAAAAGATCCGGTCTGGTCCAAGCGAACCACTCTTCCCTCCCTCATTCATGCATTCCATCTCTCTGCTTCTTATCTGTAAAAACTCCGGATGAATAATTCCATGTAATTGCATGCACCTCCCTCCCTTACTTCCATAGCACATCTGCCGTCCGTAGCATACCACCCCATCCCCTCCGCTTAAATCCCCAGTCTCTCTCCTCAAATAGTCTCCCACCCCCCATTATTAATATCCATTTCCAATTTCCTACTAATAACACTCGGAACCCCATGACCCAACCAAACCGTACGCAACAGCGCATCATACCTCTTCTGATTCAAAAACAACTGACGACTATGTCTGAGACCAGGGTCAACCTCTCCATATCTATCGATATAGGGAGCGACCATCCAGGAGCCGCTGGTGCGGTAGAGGTAGAATATGCAGCACTTGCGGATATTGAGGAAGAGGGCGGTGTTCATTTGACATCTGGGATTTGCAGAGTTAGTAAAGGATTATTAGAGGAGAAAGGGGTAAGAGAGGGGGAGATATACTTGAGCATGTGCTGTTGACCTCCACCAATTTTATCCCGCGGCCCATTATTGGGTTTCACAGGACCATCTCGAGAACAACAGATACTCTGTCCACAAAAGATTTCGCCGCAGAAAAGACACAGCATGGGATCTTGAATGTCTCTCTTGCTATTAGGACAGCGTCTCTTCATAGTTTCCTCCATGAGAGTATCGTAGTTTTTGGGAAGGCCAATGAGTTCAAAAATAGTAGGGTGACTGAGGCACAATCCGTTATTGAAACCATTCAAACGCCACTTCATGATCAATGCTTCCACATCGCCTCCCTTGGCTTCTGTGATGAAATACCTCAAGGCTAAATCTCGTTCGGGACTGATGACTTCATCGAGCATGTCATCGGGAGTGAAGGTCCTACCATATTCTGCGCCAACCGAGATGTAATACTGATTGAAAGTATTCGCATGTTCAATCCAGCTGGAAACTAAAGATGGGATTGTTCCAGCTTCCTTACCACCAAAATGAGAAAACATCTCATTGAAGGTCGGCAAGAGGAGTGCTTCAGTTAGGCGATCGAGCTCATCCATATCAGAATCAGACGGAATGTGGTTCTGGAAAGCGATGCCATAGCGAACATTCAAGAGAATCATAACCTTTCTAAGGTATACCAGTACGTAATTCTGCACGAATGAACGGCAATCCTTGAGAGTTTCGAAAGCAGGTAGACCCGCAGAATCCGAAGACCCAACATCCTCAGGCTCATTGGCAGATAGTCGGACGTGAAGACAAAATTCCCCAAAATTGTCGAGTCCCTCTTGGCGATAGAGCTCAATCATATTGAACCATTTGGATTTGTTGATGTGCCTTCCCAGTTGGAGAACGACCTTTGTCATCTCCGCCAGATAGCATAGACGAACAAGATGAATAATGTCAATATCATCAACAGGCGCGAGACATAGGGAGGCTCCAGCCAAGAAGATAAAGGTATCTTGAAAAAGCAAGGGATCGGATATTAGAAGGGGGTCGGTGAGAGTGGAATATACAGATTTCTGGAATAGTCGATGATACTGAAACTCATAGTCTGTGCTAAACTCTCTAGCGACTCTGTTGTCTCCAGCAAGTTTAAGCCCTCCTACCGTGACGTAAGACATTGCAGTTTCGGACAAGATCCGAAGGTGAGTAAGAGCTTGTTGCGGAATGCTTTCCAAGAAAGTCTGTCCGGGTAATGCTGCAATACCACGCTGTTGAATCTCAACCGCAGAAATGGAAAATCCAAGGGCCTTGGCTAATATATCACTGGAACAGAAGTCTCTCTCTTCGTGTTGTGAGAGTTTGACCTTGTGGCTGGTCTTCAATCCGTTCTTGGTCATAGAGTCTCGGAGCCTTCGGTATATATCGGTCAACTCTCGCACAGAGGAGGTCGTGTTGGACGATCTATCACCTGAGTGGGGCAAAGAATTTTCGGCCCAGATAGCGTTCGCCATGTCTGGTGGAAGAGCAGCTCGTATGTTAGTTGGCGTGAATGGTGACCAATGAGTCGGTGATGGTGGATCCCAAACTTCCATTAATAATTCAGGCATCTTGGATACTAAAGGATTGGCCATGGTGTCATCATTATGCTTCTTGAAAAGTTGCATAATCCGTCGGCTTGCAGGAAAGTCGGCCTTGTGATCATAATTGTGAGCGCTGCCAATTTGGTTGATTTTCTCAGCTCGAGGATGTTGAGAATCACCAGCAAACCTTTCAACCCAGTCATCAAAAGTATCTGTCGGTTTTACAGGGCCAAGATGAACCTCTTCCTTTGGAGACCAAATGATGGGTAAGAATGAATTGCCCAAAGCTTTACATAGCGGACAGACAAATTCATTCAACTCCAGCTTCTCGGGATGATGTCGAGCAATTTGATGCTGATGCCGTCTATTTGAAGCTTCATAGTACACTTCGAAACACTTGTAATGCATGATGTGTCCACATCCAATAGATACCGGGCCGGCTCGTGTGAATTCGGATGGAAACCCTTTGCCAATGAAGGACCGTTCTGTAACGATATCTACACCACTAGAAGTGACCTTGTGAACCTGTTCCCGATTCTCACCCGAAACTCCAAAAGGTCGAATACCTTCGGCAGACTGATCCAAGTTCGAAGGGGCATTGACAGCTTCACGAACAAAGTCTGGGTCTGACATATCTGTTTGGCGCAAGACCGAACTCGTAGTCATGAGTGCAAATGTTCCGTAGAGACGAGCGTCTTTGGTTTCTTCCTGACAAAGAATGCAAGTTCCAGAAGGATATTGGTAATAAGTTTTCGAACTCTCGCCTTCGGATTCCATATCTGAATCACTTACATCATCCTCGCCCCAATCAATATCTCCCTGATTATCAAGGAAATTCTTTTGTTGTTGCTGGAATTGTGCCATCACTCTCTTTTGACGCTCCAGTGCAACTTGCTTTTTCTTCTCCTTATCTTCGAGGGCATTATTATTTGCAGGCGAAGCTGTCGATATCCTATCGACTGGGACGCCTAATCGTGAAAAGGCAGTCTCGAAGTTTCTAGGCCGTCTTTGTTTCATTCTCTTCAGTACTAAAGCAAGCTTTGGGTGGCACGTTTTGTATTCTTCTTTTCGTGATAGCATTTCCAGAATGGCGACGATTGTCTTTGATGCAGGAGCGCTAGGCAAGAAATTGCTTCGTGCATTACTTGTGAGTGCGATATAGACGAACGACTCGAGAGACTCTTCCGACATCTCATCTTCATCTGTCCTGTCCTCCGATATGGCAATAAGAACTAGATGTAGGACCATATGCAAGAATGCTTCCACTCGCGTCACAGGTACAATTGGTGTCAACTTATTTGCCATCAATGGATATAAAAGAGCATAATAGATGATTTGAGCAAAGATGCCTGTTCGTGTGAAAGCTGCCAGGTCTGAAAATGCGCCCGACTCGATAGGTCGTAATTTGGGCTCAAAGACAATTCCGGCAAGCGGTCTGCCTGTCTTCTTTGCCACCCAAGCCTTGTAAGTATTCTCGGATTCCTCTCTCTGGTTCTTACTATAATGAGCGATGTAGGGATCGATATTTTCCAAGTACTGCTCCTTGAGTTCGAAAGTTCCAACATCAGATAGACCCTCGGGGTGCTTGAAATTGGTCATCTCATCGAGAATATCTTGACATTCTTCCTGGTCTTGGAACTTATCAGGTAGCTTAGTACAGATCTCTGTGAATGACAATGGCTTGAAACAAAGGACATGAGTGATATCTCGTCGCATGGCCATTATATGGGATCCAGGATCATCATCATTTGAAACCAATGATGTTCGGTCACTAATCAAGACAATAAGAAGATGAATTAAATCTTCTGCAATCTCAAGGATCTGACCATCCTCGACACCATCTGACTTTGCTTCATACAAGCCTTTCATCCATGGTTCAAGACCAAATCGATCAATCATCGAGACCAGCATACGAGCGGGTGGACATACAACCATAGCAGTCTGAAGAAGGAAGATATCTCGGTGATGGGATACATCGCGCAGGGTGACCCCGCGGTATGTACCTTGTTGGTGACGAAGACTCATACCATTTCGAACCCACATATTGGCTTTCATTTGGGCCAACCACGCACATACTCGCAAAGGGTAGTCGAAAGCTGCCATAAGATGATCTTCTGGGGAGTACTCTTGACTTGGCATGTTTCTTTGGCCCATAGACTTAGGTTTCTGCAGAAGATCTGGGGTAGTGAAACTAAGTAGCAAAATGAGTTCTTCCCGAGGCATACTTTTACCGCACTCGATGAGCCAGGATAGAGTATAGTGGAGAGCATGATGGAAACTCATGGGTTGCGACTCTACCACAAACTTGACGACTGAATGCTGAACAACACTGTTCGACTGCCCGGTAGTATCGAATTCGTAATCACCCACTTTCTTGAATTTTACTTCGTCTTTGATTTCTGCCTGAATAAAGCGCTTTCTCTCGGTGCCCAAAGAGCTGAGAATAACCGCCTTAGCTGCAGTTCGGATTGCCCTACAAGTAGGGTCCGTTGACTCACCGAGAGTCCATTTGAAGGACTCTGAGAACTGTCTACACAATCGATTGATTTCCCGAGTAATCAACGACGCACTAATCCAAGCATCCGTCTCATACTCCACATGCTCGCCAACTGCCCTGACGTTGGGACAAATACCTTGATGGAGTTTGACCAAGTCCAAAAACTGCAGCATGTATCTTTCATCCGTGCGGAGCTTTTCCTGTACGTGCTCCGAGCCGAACAAGTATTTCAGATCCATGAAGAAATGGTACATTCGTCGATTGGTTACAGATCCTGAGTCGAAAGCCAATGTGGCATTTGGGAAGATCTCATAGGGGTGTCCAACCTGTCGTGTGGTTAGAAAGGTGTACAAAATGGCCATCAGATTGGTCAAGAAGTTTCCCCTTTCAACGATCTCAGCCGTAATCGATGGGGTTGTCAACATTTGCAGAGAAATATTGATAATGGAGTGGTCTGGTTCCCGGTCGGCGATAAGGTAAAGTTGCGCAAGAGTCGTGTAAAGACCCGCAAAGCGTAAACCAAGCACACGCTTGAATTCGGGTATCGACACCACAGTCGAGATGTAAAGCTCACGAAGGTCGACTCGAACTTTCTTCCACATCCTCAAGTCAAACAGAATAAGCCAGTCTAATCGCAACTTTTGCCACAGATCCTCATGTAATGGCACTGATTCCCTGTCGGTATAACTAGGAGGACTCTCTAGCCAATACCTAGCTGGTCGTCCTAATCCTTTCTTTACTGGATTCTTAGGAGTCCTTGGAATTGGATTATCTGAGATAAGAGGTTGTATCTCTGCAGTATCAGAATCTGAGGGTGTAAGATCACGATCTCTAGTGACTCTTTGAGGGGGAGGGGGCGGTGGTGGCGGAGGTGGATACCCGGCCATGGTAGCTTCTTGTACTTCCAATGCCTCATCGTCCGCTCCAATCATATCAACATCTCCATCGTTATCTGTTTCGGTTTCGGTTTCTGGTTGAGGTACCGCGACTAAATTTTGCTCTCTCGTCGGCTGCACAATCCTCAATTCTGTGGGATCAAATTGGACTAGTTCAACTTCTTCATCACTAGAACCATCCTCATCATCATCATCGATATCAGCCATGTGAAACGTGAGTCTATCGGCTCCATCAAGCTCGTCCTCGTCCCCGTTATCAGTTTCATCGGAGTCCGAATCAGTAGCAGCGACGGCCGCCATTACCGCCATAGCCTGAGTTTGGCGATCTCTCAATATGTGCCTGAGGGCCCGGTGTTCAGCATCTGACCAAATCGATTCTTCCCTTTCATGATCATCGATTCCACTCAACCCTATGTCAGCATTACTAGCCTCGCTTCCCCGACTCCACGGCTTGAGCATCTCTTCACAGACGACCTGACGTAATATATTGTGATCTGGGCCGACACTGCAACCAGAAATATCACTGAGCCATTCAATTATGGTTCCACACATCTGCTCCCTGAAGGTATCCCGAGCAGAACGGATAGTCACTGTAACTTTGATCTGTTCAACAACTTTGGAGACCTTCAACAAGTTGTCGATGTCGGTGCTATATTTAATGACACTTCGACCAATATCATCGGTCTCATGTGCTCGCTGCATACCCTCCGCGTTCGTCACTTTGCAAGCCCTTGCCACCTGATCTCGAACCTCGTTGACCGTGTGTTTTTCGTCGTTCCATAGGAGAAGTGCATATTCACATGGATCCTCAATGATATCTCCATTATAGTACGATGACGTCAGCCGTGATCTCTTTTCATCCAACTGTATAGATTCTTTCGATTTGGGTAATCGTAGTTGTTCCGGCGAACATGATATAACATCGCAAATATAATCAAAGGCCCTTCCAATGGTCATCCGTATACTTTCCACCAATTCATCTGGCAGACCGGCTACTTTTCCCTTGTTCTCACTCTGTGAGCCAGGACCGTGTATTGTATGTATCGAGCAATGTACTGGTAAACGCCATGCCTCTGGATCTCCACAGTCGCAACATCCGCTGTTGCCCAATGACACACTAACATATACCATATGTCCCGTATGATCCGAGGAATCATAACAACGACTGCAGAGTACGCAGGTGTCATCGGAACTGCAAGTTTTGCATCGATATGTAGCTTCTCCGTTCTTAAATATATGTCCGCAAACCTTCCCTCTGGCCGCCTCGGTAAACTCGTCGCCATCGGTTCCTCCTTGCGCCTTTCTCAGCTTCCATGACTCAGTAGCTGATGGCCTCGAGTTCTCTGGGAAAAAAAGGTTTAACTGTTCGGTTTCCCCGCCGGCCAGAGACCAGAAGAGACTTTGTAGTAGATCGCGTTCCGCTTGCTCTGTGTATCGATTCTCGTGGACGCGGGGCAATGTTTTGAGGAATTCGCACAGCTGCCTCGAGGGCATAGATTCTTCCGCCATGCCTTCTTGTGATTGTACAGATAGAGAAGTCCCTGTCTCCTGCGTAAATTGATTTGTTCTTATGACTATGTGCCGGTTGTGGTGTGCTTGTTCATCGATAAAGAATCGTTATCGGTATCGCAGTTGCCGCAAAGGAGGCGAGGCGAAGGCGAAGTTGTTGGGTATGAATTATATTCCTGTCTTGAACATTGAAAACTCAAACTTCAACTCCACAGTTATGAATGATGAAGATCGAATTGTCTTTGAGAGCAAGTAAAGGTTTGGACTTATGTTGCACGATATGACTCCTGAATAATGTGAAGGTTCTTATTTATTTCTGGAGGGGGAGGGGTGGAGGGGAGGATGAATGGATTGTGGCGGAGGAGAGTTCCGTTTCATGAACTTCTATAAATGTATTAATACCAAGCACCGAACAGCCCAATATCTAGTTGAACATATTGGATATGAATCCAACGATCGAATAGCCAGCCTATCGGGTTTGAGTAACAATATGTGACATTCACATTATTTAATCTGGATTTGAACTTGTTCAATGGGACATCAAGCCTCAGATGCGATGTGACAAATGTCTGAACTTGGCTTTGATATTAAGTGAATTCCAACCCATGAAGCTCAACATTAAAGTTGATATTCATGCCCAAACTCACTGTTGATCACATATTTGAATCTTCTCACTCTCAAATATTAAATAAATATAATCACCAGAAGCATTGTCAACGTCGCACCCTCTTTGTTATCATAGTTTCATGCTTGTAATGTGCTACAATCTCGATTGTAGTTTATACACTCCCAGTAAAAGTCTCCCGCCCAATACTGATGCCCCGATTCTTTCTCCTAACATCCTCCTATCCAATTCAAGTCTCTAATCCTCCTCGGCAGCCTCAACATATTTCGATCGGATATCTTTCCATTGGCGCTATCAATCTTCATCAGCCCATATTCTCCATGTTATTTTCCCAGTCAAACAACTTACGCCCTTGTTTATAGTATCCCAGACTCTATCTGTGATTGAATCATATCCCCTGGAAGATATTAGTCGACCGTTCCTTTCCTGTTGTTCCGGGGGTGCTAGTAAACGTACATCTCGAATGCGAAAGCAGCTCCAAAAACTGCACCGAGGAACACAAAGTTCTTTCGGAAGAGGAAGCTATAATTCGATAACTATTAGCCCTTTCATTTCCTCAGGTCGTTCCACCCATAGTTGTCTCGTTGTAATGGGCGCATCGAGGTAGGTAGGGTAACTGACTTGTAAAGAGGACGGCTTGCGGCAGGCTGTGATTGTGTATATTAGCAAATACCAAGGGACCGTAAGAGTTAATGATATTATGAACATACCATGGCGAATTAATCAGATCTTTTCGCAGATCAGTAGAGACAGTTTATCGAGTGAAGTGATTGCTTGAATTGAAGGTTGTAGAGTAATCGGACGAATTTTGGCTTTCAACGGCAACAAAACAACGTAAAATCCCGATGGTCATATCAAATCACTTTTAATTGGTCAACGACTCTCATATGAACTAGCCTTACCATTGGACAACAATTTGAGGTATAATAACCTCATGAATTTCATCCCAGCAAAAACATTTATTGACTTTAATCAACCTTTCGAGTTCGCACATTGGACAAAGTCATACCCATACCGGTACTCCACTTATACTCCTACGAATACAAATTTTGGAACTCCTTACAAAGGGATACGTCCCGCGATCTAAAAATGCCTTCAGTACCCACCCCCACCAAGGCTGGCATCGTCGAATCTCAAGCCGGCGATCGTCACATCCCATCATCTACCCGCCCCGACGGTACGAAACGAAAAGAAATCAAGATCCGTCCAGGATACAAACCACCCGAGGATGTCGAAGTATACAAAAACCGGACCGCAGATGCGTGGAAGAGTCGTGGTAGTAAGGGTCCACCGGGTGCAGAGAGCTTGAAGGACGACACAACCGCAGCGGGAACAGCGGCAAGCAACAAAAATGCGAAGAGAAGAGAGGCGAGAAAAAAGGCAGCTGAAAATTCTAATGAAGGAAATGGTGAAGTGAATGGAAGTCAAATTGATAATTGGAGGGACGGGAAGAAGGATGTTGAGGTGGAAAAGAAGGAAGAGGTTGATCCGGAGGCCGAGAGAGAAAAGAAGGCGAGGAATCTGAAGAAAAAGCTGAAGCAGGCCAAGGATTTGAAGGAGAAGAGTCGGGAGGAGGGGGCCAAGCTACTTCCAGAGCAATTTGCAAAGGTTATCAAGATCAATGAGTTGATTAGGGAATTGGATCAGCTTGGGTTTGATGCCGAGGGAGAGCCAAAAGCCAAGGATGGTGCGAAATATATTTCCAGTACGGAAGAGACAACACCTCCAGAGGATACGAAGCAATGATGTCCGTTTTTGGATCTGAGTATCTTTGGTCACCACTCACCAAGCGGCGTTATTTCTGGATTGGGGAATGGATAATGGTGGCATTTTAGGCGCACAAGCCATCATCGGAGTTATACAAGTCGATAGATAGATCTCATGATCATGACATAAGCTTTCTGGAAATAAATATTCTAAAATTATCTATACAATTCCGTGCGCCTTGTTTACGACATCAGCTCTAGATAAACAATCTTCTACCACTTCCCAGAACCTCTTGATATCTAAGCCCCTCGGGATTTTAACACCCTCTTCCCCATCAGGAAGCAGTCTGACAATAGTCCGACCAGTTTCCGATCCATTCTGAGCATCATCATGGCTTCCCTCCGTGACCACCTTAACCTCAAATCTCTCCCTCTTCCCCCCATCCTTGTGATCATAAAACGGAATCTCCGCCCCAACAATCCCATCCAAAATAACCGCCACCGCCAACGGATCATGCAACGGCGGCCCCTCACTCATCCCAAAAACCCTATCATATGTCGCCGCGAAAAACCCCAACAACTCCACCAACATGATCCTTAACGCACTCCCACTTACCCCCTCCTTCTCACCCCTCAAAACATCCATCAACTCCCTCGTAGCCAATACCTGATGCGTCACATCCAACGGAATCAACGTTGTCTTCCCCCTCAAAACCTCATGCTCAAAAATAAAAGCCGCCGCTTCCGGATCAACCAAGATGTTAAACTCAGCCCAAACACTCCAATTCCCAATGCGTTCCCGATCCCCCACAACCCCCATCACAGCCCCCGTAAATCCATTCCCGATCGCTCCCCCCATAATACTCACGCCCCTTACATGCTCCGCTAACCCCTCATATTTCGCAAAACACGCCGCGATATTCGTCAATGCCCCCGTCGCCACCAACCACGCGGAGCCCGCGGGCGTCGCAAATAGCGCTGTAGCCATTGCGTCGATGGCTGGTTCGGAGAGCGCGCTGCAGGTGGGGGTTGGTAATAGTGAAGTTCCTTCGAGTCCGGATTCGCCGTGAATAGCAGGGGCGTGTACGGCGGGCCGCACGAGACCAGTGCCAGCACCTCGGTAGACGGGGATGTGTGTGGACGACATGGAGGTTAGGAGGGAGGTGGCGTTGTAGGTGGTGTGGGTGATAGAGGAGTTGCCGTGGACGGTGGAGAGACCGAGGAGATGGAGGTTGGGGTGCTGCGTGCAGAGGAGTATGGCAAATGCGTCCTGGGTGGGTTAGCGGTGATGTTTACGGGGGTGTGTATGTATATATGGATGGTATGGATTTGTAGAGGAGAGGGACGGTATTTGAGTGCCGAGTACCAGCGAGCAGGTATATCCTATCATGTGACTACATGATTTCCTTCAAATACCAGTTGTCTCACCACCACCACCACCACCAAATAGGCATCTCGAGCTCCAAGTTCCAAACTCCAAGCCCCCTATACATAGCTCAAAATCCATCCATCCTACCGGTACCGGTATACAGAAACAGAAATCCTAACTTACATCATGTCCTATGTATATAAAGAATATAAGTAAGCAAACATTATACATAACTCAAAACAGATATCGCTTTAAGAATACTAAAGCGAACACCGATACTTGGAATTAACATACCTGGATCACAATCTAACCAGACGTTTATTTTCTGCGGCGAGGATATCGAGCCCATGTTGCTTGCTTGTAAGGTTTGTTGTGATGTGTGTGTGGTGTAGTATGGTGTGTTGTAGTATGGTGTGATATAATGTGTGTGGATGAACTGGATGTATGTATGTATGTTTTTAAAATGAGTGTAGCAAAAAGAAATCGAAATGGCAATGGGAATGGGTGCAGATTGTGAAGTTGGAGGCGCCGAGGCGGGGGAGGTTATTGTGGGGAAATAAAAGGAAAGGTGGGATTAAAGCAATATTGTCAACTGTGGAATACCGTGCTTGTGCTGCACTAATCGCTAAGCGACGATACGGATCTAACCGAAGAAATGTCTGATTCGTTCGTTTAATTTGTGAGGATGTGAATGTTATGGGTATTACTCGAGTAAGTGGGGAGTCTTTTGTAATGTATTCGTATCAATGAGGTTTTGAGAATGTGTTGCTATAGATGAATGACTTGTTGGTTGAGAATGGAGTATATACTGAGGATAGGGTTTTGTCTTTGATATTTAATATTAGAAGAAATACTATCTAGTATTAACAAGAATATAGTATTCTATACGCAGTAAACCTGATTACAAATACTATATTACATTCGTAATTGATTATTTATTGAAGGGTAGAATAATTGCTAGTGTATTCTATAGAGCCAGTAGTTCGTTTTTCCATAAGTGATCAATACGTGGTTTCTTTTACAGTATTCATTTTCCGAGTAAGAAGTCGATTTTTATCTAGATTCTCAAGTTGCTGTAGAGTGCGTTATGAGCATAGTGTTTACTAAATGTCTTGCCATATTGAAGAAGATTAAGATGATCATGAAGATGTATAAAAGTGAGGCCAGTAATATATAGATCTATTTGCAGTGAATAGTACAAAGCAAAACCTAGTGCCCTCGATATAAAATAAGAGTATAGATGTCCAGAATATCTCTCCAGACATTGGAATTATGATATCTCATGTAATTACAAGCGTTAAAACTGATCGTTGTGTATTGTCAAGATTAAAAGAATAGCTAGTACAAACCTGTAAAAGAATCAAGCTTCACACATCTCCTCGACATTATACAAATACCTCATGTATACAACACATATGGATATCAGAAGTCTTTGATACATTCCCAGCCATTAATAGCAGAAGGTCATTTTCAAACCTTGTAATAGAATTAAAGACCTTCTTAGTATCCCTATTCCTATTCTTAACCTCAGATACTATACTTAGGTCGTTATGAATCTGAAAGACAGATTTAATATCCAGGGTGAAAGCCTAGATACACAGTAGTTACATGGTGATTTCAGTATATTAACAGTCTACTTCGACCGCTAAAGAGGACATCTATGAAAATAGAATTGTGTTTAGCCCTAATCATTCGCTATCCATTGTTTGATACATCAATCATCTTAAGCTCCTCCTAATCTCTATTTCTGGTGTGAATGAATTCCCGCTCCAACTTCAAAGTTGTCTCCAGTGCCTCAAAACATTGTTCACGCTCCAGGACGTCCAACTCACGATTAACCACCGCTGTGTTTGTCAATTCTTCTTGTTCCCGGAGATGTTTTACAAAACGCTCGTTGGATTCTTTCTCCTTCCTGACGGCTGCATTATGAGTATATTTGAGAGCTTTGAATGTTCCTTTGGATGCTTCTTGCTTAGCCAATAAAGTAGCTTCATCGGCCTTCACGGCGATTTTCCTGGATTCGACAGCAGCCGCATCGAGTTTGATAACATCTTCGGACCTTCTGAGAGAATCTTCTGCCTTTCGAACCTCATATTCACGACTCGCAACATTCATGACATGTCTCTTCACTCTAATCCTATCAAGCACGGCCAGCTGCTTTCGTTCATCAAGACGATCTTGGCGCTCCTTCAATATTTCCTTGGTGTTTATAGCAGCTGATTCTGTGGATTCCTCCAGTAATTCGAAAGCGTGAGTTCGTTCGTTCAGATTCGCAGCATCAATCTTCACCTTCTTCTCAAGATCGGCCACAATGGTTTCACGGACTTCGACCTTAGATTTTCTCTCGTCCACAGCAGACTCTCTTGCAGTAAGATCGGCTTTTTGACGTTCGAGCGTGGAGTAAAGTTCGGCCCAGCTTAATTGTAAAATATTTTCACGAGCAACCATGGCAAATTCTCTAGCTTCAACTTCTTCGATTCGAGTGGCAATAGCACGTTCAAGCTCCACCAGATCGCCTTCGCGACATCGAAGAGCAGCCTCTGGGTGCTCCACGAAATACGGAAACATCGGCGCTTGAACTGTTGATGCTCCCTCGATATGTGTTTTCCATTGTCTGCCGGCTTGTAGGGTAGGTGTAAGGATGATTGGGTTATCGAAATCTATCAGCCAGTCCGAAGGTTCTTTGCCATCATCGAAAGGCGTACTGGGTTCGCTGTCCACTCTTGGAGGTGTTTACACTCATAGAGTGATCAGGTGTGTCATTGGCTTCATCTTTGCTTCTCATGATCAGCTTCCATATTGTATATGAAATCGTTTTAGAGTTTGTATAAACGCGAACCTACCTGATTGGTTTTGTGGATTGTTCAAAGGCTTCGATATCTGAACCTGGAAGATCCTTCAGACCCGTAACCTTGTTTTTGAAGCTGCCGTCAGCCATCTTTCTTGGCTTTTAGGATATTCAACATATCGGGTGGTTGCAAGTACTGAGTATGGAAAGTTTAAAAACAATTCGCGCGTTGAAACCGAAATCATTGGACGCGCTAGTAGTTTAGATACCGATACTGCACGTGGGTTGAGCTCCCATCAAAATAGGTGCTTCTGAGGAAGGATCTTTGAGCCTTCGGACTGACACTTTTCACATCTCCTATGTTATTATGCCCATGGAGAAAGGTACAGATAAACCAAAGATCCATTTCAATTTCCAAGCAAGCAGATTAGCCGATCCTTTACCGACAATATGTGATGATAACAAGATGGCTTGGTGTTTCTATAGCTTCTACTGAATTGTTGATCAGCAAAACTGTCAGTCCATTCTTGAGGATTCCTCGTCTCGCTACGCTCGTCGCAAAGAGCGACGATTAGACTAAGAATGCTGTCAGCCTTATATGTAACGATGCCGTTCCCCAGATCTATCAATCTGACTTCACAAATGACTGCGTTGCGTCCAACATATATACAAAAAGCGGTTGTAGTATCAGTAAAGTAAAACCAGGTCACAAGAGAGGTCAAAGACGGATACTACAGCCTGCAGGTAGCGAACTCTAGAACTAACCATAGTTAACAGAGCCATCCATTCCAGTTTACAAATATTGAGTATCAACCTCGGTATAGTTCCGGACTCAGCTGCCATAGAATCTTCTCCATCATGCTGCTGCATTCGTCTGTTATATTTTGTACGGCATCGGATTCACTTATACAGCCATTGCCCCGCCATTTCAATTTTGTCCGGCTACTAGCTTCGGGATCTGGTTAATTGAACTCATCCTCCTCACGTTGAATTATACACACAATTCTTCTCCACAACAATCTTTCATAACAAGTTTTCACAACAATTTTTACAATACATCATTTCTGTAAATACAAAGTACAACCCAACAACACAATCATGGCGAGTCAGCCACCTCATAAAACAAACCGCCTGCCGGCTACTCGCACACAATGGAAGACGGACGTAAAGAACCTCAACAATGCAGGAATCTTCGATGTTGATAAGGAACCCAAAAAACGATCTTTCCAGATCCGCAAGCGTCCTACTCCTCTTGGGGCGCCTTCTAAGAACATGGACACCAATCAAACATCTCTCGATATCAACAAGTATACTTCTTATCGATTATGGTTACAAACGCGAAATACAAAATCAAAAGAAGACCTGGAATTGCTTGAGCAGGCTTGGACAGAAGTTATTCGAGATCTAAGCGTCGGAAAGGTATGGAAAAGCATGAGCACCGAGCAGAAATCTGCATTTGACAGAGCCATTCGTTCCCGTGTTAGTTATTTGGAACCAAATCCTGATCGCTACTGGTCTCGCATACACGAGTTCGCGGCTCGTATATTTTTTGTCACCAAGGAACTAAAGGCTGTGGTTGATTCGACAGAGATGGCAGATTTGGGCGCTATTTTGCGGAAAGCATCATCATCGAGAATCCTACCACGCGAGGAATGCAGAAAGATTGTATTCCGCCCATTCGATGTTGATAAGGAACGAATGCAAAAGCTTGACTGCGAGGGTGCATCTGGGAAGGTCAAAGTCTTGGATATGCCCGCGCCAGGTAGTAACACAATACAAAAGACTTCTGAAGACATCAAACATATTCACAACATTCGACCAGATATCCCTCGGCAAAAGAAAGAGCTCGAAAACGTTCTTGCCTCGATGGACGGTACGGCTAAGGTAGTGCAAGAACCAAGAAATCTTCGGGGTCCTAAAATTGCACCAGAAGTCACGCAAGATCTTACTCACAAGAAGATCCGCCTTGCTGATGCCATTACGTTTAATCCTAGGCTTATGCTCAACGGACAACTCTGCGAGAGACTCAGTCTCACTCCGAAAAGCAATAGCATTACACCCGGCCCAGTCAACAATGATTCGCACTGCATCAATGACATGGGTACCTCCAAGTCTCTTCGATTTCAGAAGGATCCGGATCTCTTTACACTCGAAACAGACAAAAATATTTCGGACTTGTCTAGTTATCGGAACTATCTGAACACCAAGCTACTTCAACATCGAGCCGCTCCAAAGGTGCAATACGCCTCATTAAGTGATGAAACCCAAAGTGTGCTGGATAAGGCTCGTCAAACGACAACGTCCGTCAGAGATTCACTTGCAGCAAACCGCGAACAGGAACAGCAGAGACATTTTGATGATTCCAGCAATCTTACAATTCGTCAAGATAGGCAAGCCACAATGACTACCCTTTATGATCGAGCTGAGGCTATTACATCCAGGGCTTGCCACTTGCTGAAAGATGCTCGTGCAAGAGAAGTCTTATGTGAAGCTTCGCGAGCCGTATCCGTAAAAGAATTGAGGACTTGGACCCAGGTCAACTCATGTCGCCTAAGACTCGTCTCAGAACATATCTTTCAGAGAATGAGCAAAGAACTCGTGCGCGAGCAGAAAGATTCGATGACATCGCAGCCCAGCGCTTGGAAAAGTGGGGTTACTCCAAAGCTGATGCCTCAGAAACTGCAAAGCATTCAACCTCTCCTCCCAGTCCACCAACTGTCGCAAATCAACAAGTGAGTTCTGAAAACGATCAAAAGCCTACCAAGGTCATTAATACCGAGGTCGCCGCCGCAGACAAGTCAAATATTGAGGATTCCTCTGCTATCAATAACACGACTCACACAGATTCCAAGACCCAAAGAAACACGAATGATACTCTTCGCGTTGCTTTGAATGAGTTCAACCATGTGGAAACCAAGGGATTTACGGAGTTTTCAATTGGCCTTTTAAAGAAATCTCTTCCAAAAGTCAGCCCACCACAGGAAGTGGGTGACAACGATGTGATGTCCGAGGACGAATGGATTATGGCCGAAGATGAAGCTGAGGATTGGGAGATAGTTTAGGATGTGATGCCGGGGCGGAGTTGTGTGGTGAGTATCAAATGGTTTCGATTGCGGTTGCAGGTATGAAGGATTAATGATGGATGAGTGCTGCGATGGAGGATACAATGTGATGAATGGCGATTAGCATGGTGGTGGTTAGCAATGATTTGTGGGTGCAAGACCAAAATATTGAGGATGGCAGAATAACTTTCTTTCTCTCAACACCCTCGAATAGCAGTAGCGATGAATCGACCTTAGGGTATTCAAACATTAATACAGTATTTCCTAACACTTCGTTTCCGTGATACATTACAGTGACATGCATGCTCGCTTCTGGAGCCCCAGTGGCAGACAGCACACTAATCATGGAAATAACTTCAACATCAAGAATTAAGCAACTCGGAACTTCCTCCTAGGCGGCAAGTAGTTAGTGATACTCACCCTTAGATCATCCATCAATCCACAATGTGGTGTCTTTTAACCAGAGTATCTCAAACCTCTTGCTGCCACCGCTACTCATCGAAACTTCATTCAAGTTGGAAGACTGATGTCCGGCAAAGATCATAGTTAAAAGTCTTACGGTCTCATTAGTTGCCGATAAGATTAATCTGCTCTGTGTGGTATGCTGGATATGGTGTATTAGTTTGATGTTTGATGCGAGGTCGTCAAAGTAAACTTTTCGCTAAGGATGATTGCTGAGTCATCTCCCTCTTGTCACGCCCCACAACTATCAAGAAAAAATGAGTAAAGATAGGCCTCGATATTTCATTCCAAGCAAACTTTTCAAATGTAACAAGACATCGGAGGTTATGAAAGGGATTTCTCTTTGAAAAGCTCCGAAAAGATTGTTGTAAACAATTCCCGTCAGGGATATTTCACACTTGTATTCAAGATTACACCCTTACAAGTCAATACTATCACTTTCCTCGCATTCTTATTATTATTCTTATATCATGCTGTCTCAAGTAAAAATTCGAAAATAACTAGAACACCCCTATACAGGCTGCGCTGAACTCTGATGAAAAAAAGGGAATCTCATATTCTTATGGAAATTGAAAGCCTCAAGGACCACAAGTTTAGGGCTAGTGAGTTGCAGTGGGTCCGCTCCCGATAACTCGCTTATTACACCAACGGGATGTTCATCTACTCGTGCATAATTAATAGGTGTCGCTCTCACATGACAGTGATCCGAGAGCAGGACTCGCCGGCGTCGAAGAATGAGATGTCTCTCCATTCAGATTATTAGAATCTGGATACTGAAACGTGAGATTCGTCTGATCTCTGGCCTCTGAAGCCTCATCTCTTGGGAAGGTTGCAGGGACAGGATTCATGGGCTCGTATGAAAACGTTTGTGACAATGATGATGCATCGGAATGGCGACTGTAACGGCCCAATTCCGAAGAAGTATAAGGTCGTCTTAATAATTCTTGATTTTTCATTTGCGGCTCCTAGCAAAGTCAGTGAGAGTCTAGTCTAGATCTGAAGAATCACATACACTTCTAAGGTTGTTTCCATTATTACTATTGCCACCAAGCGAACCATGTGATTGATGATCATAGTGTTGAACACTGCTAGGTATTCTCATCTGCTCACTTTCCTGAGTATTAAGTCCTGATGCTGTCGTGGTAGTCTTATTTAATGTGTCGGTAAGCTTATCGGGCCAATTAATGCCGGCATTGAAATTATCAGAATCGCTAGTAGCTGTACTTAGAGGTGTGTAAACTGTCTTATCGTTCTCTGTAGGCGGAATATAGCAGTTCCCGTCCGAATCAGCCCATTTGAGTTGACATGTGGCTTGAGTCTGCTCCTCAGTTACAGGCAGAGGACAAAAGGTCATCAATTGGGCGCTATCGGGCAAGCCAACAGTTTTCCTTCCTTGATATACGGGTCTATATGAAGCGGATAAACGTCGAAAGATGCATAAACCATGATCCAGGAGTATTTGCACGTGCACCTCAAAATCTGGTAGTAGTGATCGAAGTTGACCAACAGTATCTGTGCCGTCCCGATGGCGATCAACATAGGGTTTACAGCCTAGACCCAATTTTATTTGTTCAATTTTAGCACGTGCTACAATTTTTTCGATTCTTTGCTTTGCAGCTTCTGGACTGTACTGATAACGAACAAACAATCTGACATGGCTCCAAGATGACTGCTCAGTGCCTTGAACCTCGTCGTTGAGCCAATCAAAAAAACTCGATTCATGAACGCGTTTGCGGATGTATCTGAGAGCTGCAGATACGAACACAACTGTCATAGTTATTTCACAACCAACACTGTTCAGGTCTGGAGGTGCTGGTACTGGTTGTGCTAAAATGATGCCGTAGGGAAACGTTTTGTCCTCAACATAAGAGTGTTGTGTTCGAAGCTGCCAAAGCATTGACAATTCTCGTCGTCTAGAGCTTTTTTCGAGATGCTTGACCCTGAAATAGCGATGCATCGTATCTGTTTGGTACTAATGATATGAAATAAATGGGATGAATTAAATGAATACTGTCAATGCAATAAAAGAATGTTCGACATTAGAGAAGAACCTTTGCGAGATGAAAATAGTCCAGCCAACTACTACCATTTAAGAAGGTGTAAAGGAGTGATTGCAACAAGGGAAATAGTGTCCATATCATGACGAACGTGCCTGCTGAGTATACAGGTCGAGCAATCTAGTAGCCTGACGGTACTATCAATAAAGGCCACCCAGTATTTAGAACCGGCGCTTGATTGAGATCAAAGGTCAAGGTTACCATACTCGAGTAATCTCGATCCAAAATATCTCAATGTCTTGAAAGCTGTGAATCAACAATTAGTCAATACACAAGGAGATTGATGTCTAAAAGAGCGAATCTTTCTTTATTCTGACATTTCGCAAGGACAGGAGACAAGATGCAAGTAAACACTTAAAGATTCCTCGAAATTCGAGTGAGCTTCAAAAAATCTTTACTCTTCATCAACGAACACAGATCTTGTATAAACCATCTACTCCATCTAATAGTTTCAATTCCACCGCTGAACACCACCCAAAATTTAGCCTATAACCCCTCTTCTCTCAAACCACTGTTTGTAAACCCACTAGCACCACTACAATCTGTATCGTACTAGTCCGCCTTAACTTCCACTATCGATTTACCTTCAAACCTTTCCTGCATTAGACATCCCAGTGAGTTCACCAACAACACCACACCCTCCTACATTCAACAAACCCAGTTTCCCCCTTTTCTCCTCCTTATCCCGTTTTTCTCTCCAAATCTAATGCAAACACAAAAAAAAACTCCATATCGAATCACTACATATCAACGCCCTATCTTATCATCCTACAAAAGATTCAACCTTTGTATACCGTATTAACAACTTAGCGAAAGCGAATGCTAAAGCGAACTACTCTCATTAGTGAGTAGATTTTAGTATTTCATCCAAATAATCAACCCAAGTCACTACAAATTACTACAAGCATCGAACAGGTATATTCAGTCCAAGTGAATATATTACTACTAAATATTCAAATTTTTTAATTTGCGATGATATCCCCATACAATAACAAGTATCTAGGTTCCAGAGTTAAGCTTCCACATTCAAGTTATATATAATAATGGCAGATTTACTTCGCCTCATATATTAGATATGTCGCAGACTCTCAGTGTCACGGCACTTCACTGAAGATCGATATAAGAATAAATAAACCCACTACTAACCAGTAGCAGGAAAGTAGAACAGAAAATTCACTCTACTTTGATACACAAATCTTTTTCATAACTATAAAGAATTTCCCCAAAAAAGATTGATTAGTACAAGCAACCAATAAGCTGGTCAATCAATAGTAGTAGCATTACTAATTTACTACATTACAAAAAAAAAAAAAAAAAAAAAAAACAAGAAGAGAGGAAATTAAACAATTTTATCAAACCACGAGGGGCGGGCACTAATCTCAGCTAATGAAAGTATTGATTATCACTAATTGCTTGGTTACATTACTACTAGAGTATATGATAATAGACCTATCACAGCTCTGCTGCTATTCTTTTTCTTCAAGATTTTAGTTGGATTTGCTCTTTACCCATGCTCTTCTTTAAAAACCTACTCCTCTGATAAGAAGCATTCTTAATAGTCAGCTAGCTAGCTAGATGACCCTCCCCCTTTAAATTGATTCAGTTCATTGCCCGAATACGCATTACGACGCACACTAGCACTAAATATCTACTGGCAACAGTCATACACAAGAAGATAATGGAAAACCACCGGCTTGATATATTACTTGCTCTGGGAATCGTCGCGTTCTGTATTTATGCATTTCTCCCCCGCAAGATTAAACGAGACTCCAGTGGACCGGTCCATATTCCTCCGACTATACCAGTCTTCGGCCATCTTATTGGTATCTTGTGGTACAAGAACGAATACTACAATATTTTGAGGTAAGATACACTCCACAAATACTTACTATGGACTGATCGTTGCGGGCTCACATAAAAGTTAAATCGAAGTAAAAAATGGGGCTTCCCAATCTTTTCTCTCCGCATGATAAATCAAGACATTCATGTCGTTACTTCGCCCGACTTAATGCCATCTCTTCAACGTCATCACAAAGCAATCTCACTCTGGCAGTTGGAGGCAAAATTTACAGCGCAGTTGGGTGGCTTGAGTGAAGCAGCGACAGATAGGCTTCTAGCTAATGTGTTTTCGGACTCTGACACGCCAAGTCTGATGCTCGAAGGAATTAAGGGAATACATGGCGCCCTCTCTCCTGCGGGTGGCATGAATAATATGCTTCGAGTCGCAGCAATAGCCACGAAAGACAGACTGGATGATTTGGCAGCAGCGGCAAGAAATAACAATAGCAATCATGGAACCAACCTGTGGGAATGGGTGCGACACGAATTAACCGTTGTAACAACAGAAAGTGTGTATGGAGTCGAAAATCTTTACCGAGACCCAAATATTGAAGAAGGATTCTGGTATGTCAGCACCATGCATTACACCTTAGACAAGACGGAAATTGACATATGTAGGGACTTTTCTGATAATTCAATGAATTTGTTACTACCAAGTTTCCTGTTAAACATCATGGCTTCCAAAGCTATACGCGGTCGAACTGAAGTTATGAATGGATTCAAACGCTATTTCTCCAGTGGTGCATACCTCGAGGGCTCGGTGCTCATAAAAGCCAGATACGAATTGCTGGTTGACAAGACAGACAACACTAACACAGATGTTGCAAAACATGAGACGCTTAACGATATTGCGGTCCTTTCAAATACAATCCCTACAGCATTCTGGACAATCTTTCACTTGTTTTCTGATCCATATCTTCTCAAGGATATCCGGACGCAAGTAGAGGAAATAACAACAACTAAAGTATCGGATCAGGGAGAGACAATCCGCCAAATCAACTTACAAAAGCTAAATCAACTACCGATACTTAGCTCGATGATATATGAGACCTTGAGATTCCGATCAACAGGGACCGGACCTCGCCTGGTCATGGAAGACACATTTGTCGGTCAAGATCAATACCTACTCAGGAAAGATTCCATGGTGATAATCGCCAACAAAAGACTACACTTTGACAAGAGTGTATGGGGAGAGACGGCAGATTCTTTCCGTCCCGATCGCTTCTGCAAAAACGTTCCTGTACATGCATTTCGTGCCTTTGGTGGCGGAGTGAATACGTGCCCAGGTCGAGGTTTTGTCACGCCTCTAATTGCGGCATTCATAGCCATGTTGGCGATGAGGTTTGACATCATACCCAATGGAAATGAGTGGACTGAACCTGGTCAGGATCTCAGCAACATATCAACGCAGATAGCCCCGCCAAAGAAGAAATTTATGGTAGATTTAGTACGGAGGGAAGGTACGGAGGGTGTAGCATGGAGTTTTGAAATGTAGTCAATTGCCTGTAGGCAAAGGAAGGACGCAGGATATCAATGGGATGGCGTTTTGAGATAAATTTGGGTTTGAGAATAGGTTCGATGCTCTGAATAACTGAAATCGAAAATCAATCATGAAATGATTGTAATAAAGTTGGCTGATTAGCTGAAGTAACCAAGACGAAGATAATTTGTACTCAGTATGAATGAATGATAGGGAGAGCCGAAGGCGGTGAACCACGCTATAAAATACTGCCACACGACACACTATTCTAACCCCTGTCGAGCCTGACAGGCGCGACAAGAACTGCGTACATCTATAGAATTGAAGACTTGAACATTTCTTTAATTCCCACAACACAATCATCATGAATAACCAACAATTTCGAAAACTCGTACTTGATACACCCTCGAGGCAAGCTGCCGCAGGAGATAAAAATTCAAGCATTGGCGCAACTCCCAGACGAGATGGCGCAACACCTTCTGCCCTTGGTTCTCGAATGCGAAGTTCAATACCCATGACACCGTAAGGCTCGGACAAGACTTCTTCCACAATGCTATATAGTCGGGGCTAATTAAATTATCAGCCGTTCAGTAGGTGGTGTTGATTTCGCACGCCAGGTCGCCGAACAACGAGCTTTAGGCAATCCTTCGCAATCCAAGAAATTTCGCTCAGTCGCCGCACCCAAAGGTTCGAAACTCGCAGCCGGATATACCGATCGTACCAAAGACCGCATCGACGAAGATGAAGATGATAAGGGTTCTAGAGTCAAGGCATTGGAGGAGATGATGAAATTGCAACAGATTGACGAAGCTACGTTTTTAAAATTGAGGGATGAGATATTAGGTGGTGATGTGGAAAGCACCCATTTAGTGAAAGGACTAGATTATAAGCTATTGGAGAGGGTAAGGAGAGGCGAGGATGTTTTAAGTGGGAATAATGACGACGAGGATGAGGTTGACGAGCCGGAGGATTTGGATGACGAGTTTGAGAAGTTGGAGGAAAGGGATGTCGTTGCGGTGGAGAAGGAGAAGAGCAAGAAGAAGGGGGAAATGGCACCACCTAGTTTAATACCAGGGAAGAAAAGGAATAGGGATCAGATTTTGGCAGAGATGAAAGCGGCGAGACAGGCGGCTAAGGAGGCAGCGCAACCATCTCTCGGAGCAAGATTCAAGAAGGTTGGAGACCCAAAATCGAAGACCAGGACTGAAAGAGATGAAAAGGGAAGAGAGGTTCTCATTGTGGTTGATGAGAATGGAAATGAGAAAAGGAAGGTCAGGAAAGTACAGATGGAATCGGAAGCAGAGAAAGGAAATGGTTTATTAATGCCGAACAAGGATGCGAAACCGCTGGGCATGGAAGTACCGGAAATACCAAAAGAGCCAGAACCAGAGGAAGATGACATCGATATATTTGACGATGCGGGTGACGATTATGATCCATTAGCTGAACTCGACGAAGAAGACTCGGAATCGGACGTGGAGGCTGAAGATGGAGAAGTTACGGAGGATCATAAACCAAAGAAGCCGAAAACCCAAGATACACCACGAGAAATACCCGCAGCTGGAAGTATGGCGCCGCCTCCGCGGCCTAATAAACCTAACAACTATTTTGGTGACTCTGAACCGGCCTCCACAGACGATGGAACGAAACCAAAAGCTTTCAGCGACCCAACTATTCTCGCCGCTCTTAAGAGAGCCTCTAATATCAACCCTATCTCCAAAGCTTCCGAGTCAGCAGAAGAGGCCGCAAAAGAAGCGCGGCGGAAGAAGATGTTACAACAAGATGACCGTGACATGGAGGATATGGATATGGGATTTGGAAGTAGTCGATTTGATGACGAAGCTGATTTTGATGAGACGAAAGTGAAACTTTCAGCGTGGGGTCAAGGAGATGATGAAGATGAGAAAGGAGAGGGTAAATCTCAGAGAAAAAGAGGTTCGAAGAAAAGAAAGGGTGATGCGAATAGTGTTGCGGATGTTATGAAGATAGTTGAGAGTAGGAAGACTGAGTCGTAGGAATCATAGGGCAGTAGAGTATATAAAATATACCCTCGTTTCTAGGTAGCTTATTTATAAATCCAATTACATCATGCCGTGAGAAGTCCTATTAGGCGAATCCATCCTGAGAAAAGTGAAACTACAATCACGTGATTTCGCGTTTTGAGCTTAAACTTGCAAGGTTAGCTAACTTCACCACACTTTATGAACCGTTCGACTCCAACATATTAGAAACTCGCAAGCAACAATGCCTCCTCGAAGATCTGGTCGCAATGCTAATGCTACCGTCGCAGATACTCAAACCACTGAACCCACAAATTCCACAGCAAGGAAGGGTGAAGGACTAAAAACTGGAAATACAGAAGTAAGTAATAAGGTCGAGAAGTCAATACCGAAGAAGGCTGCGGCGAAGCAATCGAAAAGAAAAAAGTACTCAACGAAAGAGGACGGAGACGAAAAGGACGAGAGAACTGCTGGTTATCTTGCAGCGTTGGAAGACAATTTGGAAAACGCAGGTGGAATCGACGAAGACGACGAAGCTGTTGTATCCCCAAATCCAGCCACCAAAGGTGCAAAGGCAATTGCTGTGGATAAAAAGGCTACGGCGGTTACCAAGAAAGCCCCTGTGAAACGCAAACTGAAGGACGAGGACGAAGACGAAGAGGACGGGACTGTTGCCGAGAAAAAGGTTACGAAGAAAAGGAAAACACAAAATGAGAAAGACGCAAAAATCATGCCATTAGCCGATCGTACATTGGTTTCGACTCTAAAGAAGGCTGTACATATTGGAGCTCATGTTAGTGCTGCTGGCGGTAAGTGCAACCTTCTCTTAAGGTGTGAACTTTCTCTCATCTAATATAATTCTCTCAGGCGTACACAATTCAGTCAACAACTCACTACGTAATGGTGGCAATGCGTTTGCTCTTTTCCTTAAATCTCAGCGAAAATGGGTAAATCCTCCTCTATCTTCTGATGCTCGCGATCAATTTAAGGCTTTCTGCAAAGAGCAAAAATATGATGCCTCGAAATACGTCCTACCGCATTGTTCATATCTTGTCAACCTAGCACAACCAGACGAAGAGAAGGCCAAGCAAGCATACGATTGTTTCGTGGATGATCTAAAACGGTGTGAGGAGTTAGGCATCAAGCTTTACAATTTTCATCCGGGAAGTACAGGGGGCAATCCAAGGCCGGAAGCCATCGCACGTATTGCAGCCCAATTGAACAAAGCCCACAAGGCGACAAAGACTGTGATCACATTATTGGAAAATATGGTTGGAGCCGGAAATGTAATTGGTTCTACATGGGAGGATCTTCGGGACATTATCGCTCTTGTTGATGATAAATCCCGAGTTGGTGTTTGTCTCGATACTTGTCATACGTTTGCTGCAGGATATGATTTGAGATCGCCCGAAGCTTTTAAGGAGACTATGGATGGGTTTTCCAAGATCGTTGGGTTACCGTACCTGAAGGCTTTACATCTCAATGATAGCAAGTCACCGTTCGGTTCAAATCGGGATGTGCACGCAAACATCGGTACAGGATTTCTCGGTCTTCGAGCTTTTCATAACGTCATTAACTTCGAAGCTTTTCAGAATATGCCTATGGTTCTCGAGACACCAAATGAAAAGAAAGACGCTAATGGAAAGAATCTTGAAGATCCATCAACGTGGGCTACAGAGATTAAGTTACTAGAGGGGCTACTCGAAAGAGATCCAGAGAGCAAGGAGTTTAAGGAAGAAGAGCAGCGCTTACAGGATTTGGGGGCTGATGAACGAAAGAAGTTTCAGGACCAAGCTGATAAGAAGAAGAGAGAAGTTCTCAAAAAAGGGCAGAAGACTATTGATTCCATGTTCACAAAAGTAGTCGCGAAGAAAAACAAGAAAGGAAAGCAAGAGAGTGATGATGAAGGTTCCGAAGATGGCAGCTGTTCACATTGAGCGACCCAGACTACGTCGCATTCTAGGTTTGGGTAATGGGGGAGAAGAAGGTATTTTGTATGATAATATGTTAATATAGGTACCACGAGGATTAGTCACGAAAGTCCGGAGAGAGCTTTGGAGGGCTAAATTCTTTTCTCATGAGGTGAGATCACAATGATAAATGTTTATGTTTTATGGGTTGATGTCTCTACTTTCTGATACAATTCATAAGCTGGACAGTTCCATTTTGTTCCGAATATCACGTCGTCTCCCTTGTTTCCGACTACGATGAAAATTGCGAAGATCATCAAAATTGGTGTCTTCATCAGTGCTATTCTCTTGAGAAAGCCAACTCATGACCTTTCATAGCCACCCTTCGGTATTTGTACAACAAGAGAAAGAAAACCCATTAAAGTTCGCCAAAAGCTCGTCAGTCAGCCTCGATACCTAAACTTGTCCTACACAAACATAATTCATGATGTTTGCTACATTCTCACTCCTGTCACTCGTTTTAATTGGATCACTTATTGATGCCCATAATGAAATATCTGCAAAAGATATCCAGAATTGACTAGTAACCACTGACTGTGCTGGCATGTGGCAATTGCATCCGCATATTCGTATCACGATAATAACAAAATGGTGACTATAAGTAAGCGTCATATATCTCTATTTCCCGAACGAGATCCTTCTCCAAAAATATTCTATATGCTCGATTTCTGCCTCCATCTCTTCTGTCCGAACCCTCGAAGAAAGCAAAGGAGGGAACGATATATCAACCCCGCATCTCTCGCTCTATCTAAACCTCGTCGTCGCTATCCTCTTCCCTCTCCAGTCTACCCTCTTCCTACTCTCAGAATATTCCCTTCTGAACAAAGTTGCCAACAACCTCGTCCCATTAGTCCGGTCTATTATCCAGAACCGCAGTTGGAACCTGAACTTGAACCTGAGTTGTTATTTCCTCAGAGATTCCATCGTATTCCTTTTGGTCCGATTTTAACGCGTGAATTAGAGCCAGAGCTGGAGCCTATTCAACATTTTTATCTTGTGGAGCCTGAGCCAGAGCCAGAAATATATTTTTCTGTTCCTCTTCCTCTTGCTCTTCCTCGTCCGAGTCGTAGATCGCCACCGAGGCATCATATACATCTTTTGCAACCCCTTCCACAACTTCCACCTCCGTATATTCCCTCGCCTCCTCCTTCTCCCCCAAATCATCATATTCACGTCTTACCTCCTGCCGTTCTTCTTCCTCCTCCATCAAGAACCCCGTCTCCGCCACATACTCATATCCACCTGCTCGCGCCCGCTCCTCCTGTTCGCCCTATAACTCCCCCTCATCAACATCAAGCACTCGCCTTAATCCCCTTGCCCAAAAATAGAGATAACAATAGAAGGAACATGAATTTTCCTCATCATTATAATGCTCATGCTCCCCATCATCACCATAACCACAACCACAACCAAAACCAAAATCATCGCCACCGCTCTCCTTCTTCCTCTCGCTCTCCATCCCCTCTCTCTCACCCCCACCACGTTGCTCAAAACCGCCTTAATAATAGCGCAGGCATAGGAGTAGGAGCTAATCCAAATAATCCAAACCACCAGACCAGCCCAGCCAACTCAAACAACATAACGAATCCAGCTAACCCAGCCAATACCCCCCTCGCAGACCTCATCCGCGATGTCCTACAACGCTATCTCCAAATCAATTTGCCCCCGGGAACTGCAATGAGTATAGCGAGGTTAATGGCTCAGAGTCGTGATGGTGTGGATGGGAATGCGAATGCGAATGCGAATGCGAATGCGAATGCCAATGCAAATTCTAATTGGAGTAATAGTAACATGGGTATGCAGGGAAGTGGGGGACATGTATCGGGTTCAGAGATGAGGGATCGCAGGAGAGGGGGAAGGGGTGGGAATGGAGGGGGTGGAAATGGAAATGGGAATGGAAATGGGAGAAATAGATCGGGAGTGTTAAGTTCGGATTCTAATATGGGTTCCGATACCGATACTGATTCGGATTCGGATTCTGGTGATACTCAGATGAGGAGGAATGGGAATGGGATAATGGATAGGGGTAGAAATGAGAAGATTAGACGGTTTGTTTTTCTTTCTTTTCCCACTCTTTTTTCTCTCCCATCCAATCTCTCCTCCAAAACCCAAAAACTAACACTCCACCTCCCACTCCTCGCAGAATAAACCTCTGCGCCCAACTCGCCAACGGCATGATAAGGCAATCCATGCTAAACGCTGAGATTCACCCAAAACTGAATGTCGAAGGAAGATACCCACGGGGATTTAAACGTCCTATGAAGATTAGGGAGTTTTTGGGGATGAATGGTTTGTTTGTCTTTATTTCCTCTCTTTTCTATCTTTCTTTCCCCTTTCTTCTTTCTCTTCTTCAGATCCTCATCACCCCTCTCCAAAAAATATCAAATGAAACGAAATACTAACTCCCCACAGCAAGATCCCTCAATAGCCTCCTTTCCGCCTATAATCTCCCTATACCTCTCGTACCCTCTACACGAAATTCGCATGCACATGCAGCTATGGTGCATTATTCGACTGTTGATCCGGTTGCACTGGCGGTTTTAAGTTCGGTTGATCCGGGGATTGCTGGTTTGTTTTCGCTTTTTTCTTTTTTTGGTTTTTCTTTTTCCTGTTCTCATTTCTTATTTTCCTATTTCTATTTCTATTTCTTTGTTAAAGTGGCTAGTGATCTTTACAGTCCCATATCCCTCTCCCTGGTCTCACCTTTGTCTCCCCTTTATATCTATCTTCATTTCTTTCCTTTCACTTCTTTTCTATTTCCCCTTCTCCCCCTTCTTCCCCTCCTCTATTCAATTCATCCCCTCTGCATTTCCACATCCACACCCTCACTAATCTCTCTCTCCTCCTTCTCCTCTCTCTAGCATCCACCCACCACACCCACACCCACAACCCCCATACAACGCGTACCCCTCACACCACCCAGTCACCCGAAGCAACCGCCATTCTCGAAATCCTCTTTGAGTTTCTCGCCGTAGGCACCTTAATACCCCCTTCCGCTTCTCCTTCCACTCCACCAAATCCCAACACAACCCTCCAATCCGCAGCCTTAATCTCGAGTATCAACAACACCAATAACAATACCAACACCAACACCAGCAACACTAGTAATGGCAACAACCATGCATCTCCCAGAAATGGTACTCGCACCAGATATCCCCTTCAAAACCCATCTCCGCATCCAGCTCCCCCTCCAAATTCGCTTCATAATGCCATTCCCAATCCAAATCCAGCTCGCAACCCAAACGCACACACACACATGCAAAATTCCAATCCAATTCCAAACCCAGCCCCGGTTCCAAATCGATTGAACAATAATAATATTGGGCTTGCGCGGCCTACTGGTAGTCATGCTGGTAGTCATACTGGTAGTCATCATCATGGCAGTCATCATCATCAGACTGGGGATGGGAATGGGAATGGGAATGCAGGAGGAAGATTATTACGAGGCTAGGCTAGGCTATGCTTGGAGATTATTGGAAGGGAGGAGAGGGTAAGGGAGGAGAAGAGAAGAGGGAAGAAGGAAGACGAGGGAAGAGGAGAGGAGGGGAGGGGATGAGAGATGAGGGGTGTATTATGTTATGACAATGTAATACAAGTTCCTACTTGCTTAAAATTCCGTTGGCGTCCCAGTGGGATTCTCACTCGCTTATATAGCTACTACTCGAGTATCTCATCTATCTATTCTGTAACAATACAAAAAATACACCCATCACATCCTCAAACACCCTGAGGTTTATCCTTATCTAATTTCATACCAAGTATAATCTTGACTTCTGGACAGTAATTCATTATGTGGGAGACGTATTCGGGTTTATCCCAGATCTAAAGAGAGGAGGGGTGTTTGTTAGTTTTTGGGGTTTTTGAGGGGGAGAAGGGGGGAGCGAGGTTATTTGATGTGATTGATGGAGATGGGTGAGATGGACAGATGAATGGATAGGATGGGATGGAAGATATGGAATAATGATGATGGTGATGGTGAAGATGAATATGAGATCATCCGAGGGAGATCTGAAATATGGTGAAGGGTATGATAGTCCACCCGGTTGGAGAATTATTACATTTTTGAGTATCGAGGTTTTGATACTCAAAGATTCATGAAAGATTCAACTAAAATCAATTCTTCAATAGAAATGAATCTCCAAATAACTCAACTCGAAAAAGATACATCATTGAAACCCTTGAAAAATGAATTTGTCTAAAAATCTACGGATAAATTGCACAAAGGGGAAGCATGAATATTTGCCGAGAATTTGAGTATTGAAGAGATAGATGTCAAATTGACTAACCTGTTGATGATGTGCCCCTAACCACCCAATATGATAACCCAACGGAGCTTCATCCCAAACACTTTCCACACTGAACGTTTTGCTCACTTTCGCATTTGCCATTTTACTCCCCTTCAATTTATTGAGTTTGTTACTGAGCCAAAGATCCTCAAGTGCTCCATCTTTAGGTTTCCGTCTCTCCTTTTCCAATAGTCGTAATATGGACGACACGCGACGAAGGGAGAGACCTCCATTTCCACCATAGGTAGAGTTTGGACCCCATGGAGCTCCTATGTAATCATATTGTATGAAATCGTTGAGAGTTGTGGGTGCTTTGGTGCAGAATATAGAATCGGGTTGGAAGACTAGGAGATGTTCGGCTGGGAGGAGGAATTTATATAGTTCGGGGTCGGTGAACATTTGGGATATGGATTCACGGTTTGAGACATTCCAATGGGAGGGGAGAGGAATAAGAGTAAGCTTCTTGGAAGCTACTAGATGTTTCAAATGGTGGAAACCGAGGAGATAATTGATGGAGGTGTTGCTGCCCATAAATTTAAAGGTCCATTCTGGTGGGATGACGCTCGTCATGTGTGTAAGTTGAAGAGGTAGATGTGGAAGTGGGCGAGTTTCAATCATGAATGCAAGTTTTCTAGGATCAAGAGTCGAAGTTGGGGAGGCATGTTCGGTCTTTATTGATATGGATGCTATGGTACTGGTATGCGTCACTGTGTGTTCTATAGTTTTGGTTTTGATGATTGTCAGAGGCTCGGCAGTAGGGATGTTGCGTCTAAGCACAGAATTAGATGCGGTTGACATTGAGGTGTAATTGCCATTGTTGCAAATGGAGGGAAGGGTTCAGACATACCCGTAAAGAAGAACAAGAATTAATAAGACCCCAATCATAAGCATTTGCCTCATTCTACCACCAAAACTCCATGACGCCGCCATTCCCGTAGACTTCATAGCCAACACTCCCGACCCAATGCTTCTAATAATCAAAACTCATCTATCCTTACTCTAACCGACGAACAAAACGCAGTCGAAATATGGCAATCAAGGAAAGAAAGGAAATAAATATGACAAATGGAATGGAAGAAATGTTGGAGCATTCCTCAATACTTGTACCCCCATTGCATGTCTTACAAGTTACCACTTCCCTGCGAACACTTTGGAACCCCTAGTTACGTGGCCCAACGCTAGAGTAAGGAACTTTTGCGTGGGATGTGATCTACCAAATGGCATTTCAAGCCCCATATCATTAAGGCTAGATGCCAGTAATGATACAAGGGGGTTTCCAAGTAAGGTTTGAAAAAGGAGCAAATCCATACTACCTACTCGAGTACTACCGTCTCTGTATGAATGTGAATGGAACTACGGTCTAGATGTAGCCTAAAATATCAAATAAGCTTTTAGTAAATCGGTAGTAAAGCTGTGATTGGGTGAAGTTGGTGAAGGAAAGAAAAGGATGCTGAAACATAATCATAGTGAAGCTTATCTTAGACTTTCCCCCTCTGAGACACGGAAGAACAATGTTCCGTACCGGAATCCATTTCCAATTAACTTTCATTCTGCCGGCAGCACAACATCTCATCTGCCAACGTTGGACTCTTGACAAAAACCGTATACCGGTATACATATTGTTGATAGTGATGTTCTCCAGAAATATTACAGATAATGATGATGATTATCAAGATACACTATACCGGTAGGCTATCCTATGTCAGACGTTATCATCTTGGAGAAAGATGCCGAACTTAGATTCTCATTCCATATCATCAACTCCAGCGAGCAGCGGACATATTCTCCTTTTCCATACTGTCGAATTCAATACGCTACTGGGCATTGCCTCCCATTCTATTGTTGCGACCTTTGGGGGGCCTTCGTAATCTTTTGAAGTCTAGTCCACTAGCCATCGGATCAATTACTCCTTCTGTTGAAGTTAAGCCTATCCGCTTTACAGTTACCGTACTTCTGTTCAAAGATACTTGCTGGCCGGACCTATGTTCCCAGAAATGAGGAGTGTCTCCTATTCCAGGTTCTACGAGCTTGCTCATCAGCTTCCTTGTATTGGGCCCTTCAATACTCAATACCGCCTCGAAAGCCCTGGTTGATCCTAGTGTGTTAATTTGAGTTTATGGACATGATATTGGAGTTTGTCGCTCCAGGCAGCAGCGAACTTCTAACTTAAGAAGTCTGTACTAGAACCCTCCACCGCCATGGATTGCTGAAACAACGACAGTAGTAGGCGCGTCCGGAAGCACTGTATACATCCACCCTACCGTATTCCCGAGAGCTTATCGCAGGGTCGGCTTGCAAGGTGGCCAGGCATGGTGTCTTTACCATGTTAATGAGAGCATCAGTTCAAACGGCGCCAGAATGCTAGCTTGTTGTTATCTTTTCCTCTATCGCTCCCAGTATTTTACTCCTTCAACGCTTCGAAGTGTGGTGGCAAAGCAGTTAAACGTTATGCTGGAGATTAAATTGACCCTTCACGGTATGTCAGAGAAGACGTTAAATGCCCTCGGAGTAAGAATTTGGATAACTACTAAGGAGGATTCCCCGGAATTTCAAAAAAACCCATTGGATCATCTAAGCTTGCGAATCATAATTGTAAGTTAGCGTACAGCATGAAGTGTCTTTCTGATTTGCACCATTTTTCCTTTGAGATTTGGAAGAACAATGTTCCGTATCCAAGTCAAGGAGGGGACGCGTCAGTTACTCAGCAAGCCACGACGTTTTATATATATTCCATTCTCAGTATACGACTCAATCTGATATCATCCCATCACTATAACGTTTCATGCCAACAGGAGTGTAATACAACTACAAGCCCGATTGGTGAAGCTGTCGATCATTTGTGCAACGCGAAAGTACGAGTTGTACAAGTCATATATGAAAGTCTCAGGAAGTGTACGAGGCAATCAAACAGCATGCATCATTGACGTCGTGCCATTCTGACTGATCTCGGTATCTTACTGGTTTGGGCGACGCAATGAAGGAAGATCTGGGGATTTGATCCAGATATTCAGCTAAGGGATTGCATTTGGCGATTTCTGAGGCGTATGGTCTAGATGATTAGACAAGTCAAATCTAAAACCAATAAGTGTATGTCAGTATGACATTTTCGTTGTCGTCATGAACCAGGAATCCTTCTACTCTTGACAAAAACAAGCTGCACAGATCGTACGATAAGCTCAATTTTCATACTCAAGTATTATACGTTTGATGCATTTTGGTCAGAACTTTATTGAGTGGTAGCCTATACTAAATTCTGTGATGAGCAAGCTGGCTGCGCTTCCAAACTATTACGGCACTCGTAGAAACCCCGCAAATTTTGATTGGGATTCTGTTTCGGTAATCTATCAATCAAATGCCAGTCCGAGATACCTGTTTCGATGACACTGTCTGTCCGGAAAGCCGACCAATCATCAAGAGCTTCTGCTTATTCTCGGCGCTCACTTTACTCATAAACATAACGCGTCATCTAACGCCATCTTGAGGCTGAGTGATCAGATTGGAGAATCATTATTTTGAGATGTTTCATCTAAGCAGATATTTATATTGGTCATGTTGATAAAGTTTTCGTCTACGATCTGACATGATGAGAAGCGTGATGTATGTTACCTCCACTTGATGATCATCTCTCTCACCCAGTAGCTGCCGGAAAACATCTCATCGTTCATCGTGAACATTCATTGGTTCGGATGAAAATCATGACAGTTTTACTTGACTATGAAATATCTTCTTATAAGTGGATGAGGTTATTCGAAGTTTCCTTTCATGCTTCATCTCATTTGTATCTCATTCAATTTCCTATCTACGTTCAACTTTGCTGTTTTTTTTTCTCCTTATACCAATCATTAGATCTTCTCTCTTGGTTGAAGTTTCCAAAACTTATATTATTTTTTTCCAACTTTCCGTCTTCTTGAACAATCAAGTTTATTTCTTTTCACCATGAAGTTCTCAAGCATCTCCACCATCAGTGGACTTTTCGCTCTCACTTCTGCCCAACTTACTACAGATACTGTCTCAGTCGCGTCTTCCTTCACCCTTCCAACTACAATCACTCAAATAAACACTATTACGGAAGGAGGATCTGATAGCTACCAGACGTCTTCAGGCCCAGCTTTTTCCGCCACAACTACAGCAGATAGCTCCATTACATCAGACTATATGACTGCAGCAAGTGGAACTACCACCTCTGACAGTTACTCGTATGATGGTGGAAGCGAATCCACAGAGGCAACTACCGCCACCTCTGACGATTATAATGGTGAAAGCTACTCCACAGACGCTACCACCACCACTCCACCCTCCAGCACCTCAACAAGTAGCCCCTATAGCTATAGCCCAAGCCGCACAGTCCACAACATAACCGTCGGAGCCCAAGGACTCAAACTCTTCTCCCCCAACCAACTCAACGCCAGCCTCGGCGATATCGTGCGCTTCAATTTCCTAGCGCGAAACGCCACCGTCACGCAATCCAATCTTGACACTCCCTGCATCCCCAACGGCGGTGCCGATACGGGCTTCAACCAATTCAATCCCGAGAATCAAACTGATGTCTTTGTCCGGGAATTCTTGGTTAATACTACTGAACCTATTTGGCTTTACTGCGCGCAAACGCTGCCGAAATCGCACTGTCAGAATGGTATGGTGTTGGGTATTAATCCGGCGGGGAAATTTGATGCGTACTTGGAAAAGGCGATTGAGAGTGGGGGGACTAGGTTGATGTCTGTGCAGGATGGGGGGAAGGGTAAGGGTATGGGGGATGGTGAGGCTAGTACTTTCTTGTCGAGTGGGATGGCGGAGGCTGAGGTGAGTACGATGACGTCTAGCGAGGCGGGGTATACGGCGACGGCGACGTCGATGGCGGCGTATGGTTATACTGATGTTGTTAAGGGGAGGAAGTTTCGGGCGTAGGTTTGCGTGGGTATAGATGTAAGGATATGAATAGGAGGAAGGATAGGCGAGGTGTAGGGATGAGTCTTAAAAGGAAGACGAGAGGGCGGGACTTGCGATTGTTTGGTTTAAAGGTATTTTAGATTTTATTAATAGGTACGGTAGCTTGTTTAGAGAGAATTGAATTATTGAATTTTTAGCATTTGGTTTGGTTTTGTTATCACGGTCGCTTTGATGAATATGTTGGTTAAGGTGATAAATAACTAGATAGTATAACGCTTTATACTGGAGTATAGTCATACCTACCGGTACATCATTTATCACACATACTGTACATTGTACATCATACATTATACACAAAGTGTACGGAGCTGCTTGATTGAAAATCAACCTCATATCCAAATTATGTCCACCGCAATGAAAACACCGAAGAATCTTTTTGGTGGGAGAGAAGAGGATGTTGCCCTTGAAAGTCAACTCGCAACTCCAAGAAACATTGAAACTCTTTCGCCATGGGTCTTGGAGCATGGACGGTGATGTTGATGGCGAGGTGGTTATCCAAATTCAGGGAGTTAAAATCAGTGGGTTGATCACCTAGACTTTCCAATACTGTTAGATGAAACTTGTCAGAATCACACGTCGTCGAAATTGGGATACTACACCTTCGAAAATTAAGTTGGGTGTTCAGCAGGGCTTTGAGGTAGGTGATCAAGTCTCAGAAGAAGTTTGCGAAATGGAAGCCTCCCTCCGCAGGTGAGGATTACGAATGTCAAAGGTGTTGTATAAACGCTACTACTCAATGAGCTAGCCTTACAGAGTAGACATTCTTTTGTCTAGTAATTGGTTGGATTAGTCGTTGGTGATTTAGTTTGATCTTCAATCAAGGGCTTGAAATTTATAAATTAATAGAAATTACTCAATAAATACTTTATATTATGATATTCAGAGGTTTATATAGTAAATACGCTCTGTTTTACGAGTACAGTAAGGTTGCTAGGGTAAACAAAACGTAAACATCCCTACCCAACCTTATCATACTGTATCTAATTTCTTACAACTCAGAACTCCAAAATTTATGAAAAGAATACATCAAACAATCACCAACCACCCAAACCACTTGAATCTCCCCAAAGATGTCTGCTTCCGAGGACTTGATTGACTTTGATATAATTGAGAGTCAAAAAGAAAACATTCAATCATTACCACAAGGAAGATCCGCACGAAACCTCGCAAATCTATTCTCTCCCTCTCCTCTACAACCCCTCTCAACACCTACACCATCCGAAACAAGAAATCTGAACGATGCGATCCGGGAAGAATACGAAGCAGAATTGGTCAATATTGGAGAATCAGACGATCCATTAGATATCTATGATCGATATGTCAAATGGACTCTCGATGCATATCCCTCCGCACAAGCAACACCTCATTCACAACTTGCCCCTCTTCTCGAGCGTGCAACGAAAACATTTCTCAATTCTCCACAATATAAAAATGATCCACGATACTTGAAGCTTTGGCTTTCATATATACGATTTTTCACCGATACGCCCCGCGAAACATTTGCGTTTCTGGCTCGCCATAACATTGGTGAAGGATTGGCATTATTTTACGAAGAATTTGCGGGTTGGTTGGAGGGTGCAGGAAGGTGGATACAAGCGGAGGAAATTTACCAGTTAGGTATCGATAAAGAGGCCAGACCGGCACCGAGATTGTTGCGCAAGTTCAATGAGTTTCAGGAAAGATTTGCTGCCAGACCGGATGGTAGTGATGAACCTTCATCCCCCGCATTACCTACAGTACGACCCGCACTGGCTGCGAAAATCGACCCATATGCTGCAGTTGGGGCAGCCCCCGAAGATCCTCAAGCAGCCAGACCATCTGCGGGCGTAGGCGGCCCATCAACTACAAAGAGTGGTAAGCAGAAGTTGAAGATTTTCTCGGATGATGAGAGTGGATCTTCTCCGGCGGTCTCGGCCTCTCCAGGAGAAGGATGGCAAAGTATTGGTTCATTAGCAGATAGAAAGAAGGAGAATACGATCGAACCTAGACCATGGGTTGGTGAGACGTTGAAAGCGGGTGGAAAGAAGAGCAGTACTAAGATACCAATTTTCAAGGACGAGGTATGTTTTTCTTCCTTTCCGTCCCTTACTATACATATGTTGATGATCATAGGACTAATTTTTGGCAATTATGGCGTTATGTATTTCAGTCTATACCATTACCTCAAATCACAAATCCAGAATTGCAACAAGTGACTATTAATCCTAAAAATGGACGAAGTGAACGAATTTTTGTTAATCTCGAAGCTGTATATCCTACTCCAGATAAAATCGGGACAGAATTGAGCTTTGAAGAGTTACGTGCTGCTCATCGCGGATGGTCGAGTAAGATCTGGGAACCAGAATTAGATATACCACAGGAGAAGCCTGTATCCCATGAATCAGCAAAAGAGTCTAACTTTAGCATTGAAACCATTACACAACAGATTCCGGAGAAACTTGTTATTGCTCGAGATCTAGTATATTTGGATGAGAATGGAGCAAAGAAAGAACACAATAAGGAAACTAAGCATAGGCGGATGAAAGTTAAGGAGGTCAATAAGACACAAATAAGTGAGTAGTTTGATAAAATCCATGTGCCAAAGCTAATCTTCTGTAGTCACCGCAAAGCTTTCTTCGCCAACGGGAAAAAAGATGACCAAACGGAAATCCTCCAAAGAGGCTACGATGACTCTTCATACCAAAGCAGCGACTGATGAAATTTATGATATCTTTAATCAGCCTCTAATCACAGCTGATGAGGAGGAAGAGGAGGAAAAGGAAGAAAGTGATGACGATGATGGTGATACGACTGATGGCGATTACACGAGTGGAGGAGAAAGTACAATGACTGGGAGACTTAATGGTACGAGTGAAGCTGGTGATGATGACGAAACTACCGATGTGAAGAGTGAAAGCGAGTGGACTGAATTTACGGCTCGCAAGGATGTTCCAGATATGGATGATGAAGATGGAACCATAGCTTCAACTTTCTCCGATGCAGAAGATGAAGAGTTTGAGGCAATCAAGCTTGCGATTCCTCGTGATGTTGAAGAAAACGATGAGCTCGTGACTCCAATATTCGAAGATGGACCATTCAATTCAACCACGAGTTTTGTTCCAATACCTCCGGAAGATTATGATCCACCAACCCATCCATATCGAGATTTTGATCAAGCTTCTCAAAATCGACTCCCTTTCATGACACCCATCGTGGAGCGGACTGAATCATCTCTTGGCTTACCAACAATCAGAGATCAGAAGAATTACCTGCACTCTACTACTAGCCCGAGCAGAGGTAGTGGATCGAAGATAGAGGTATTTCAAGACGATGAGGACAGCAGTCCCTTGAGAGAAACTATTTGTGAAGCAAAGCCCACCGATAGGATACCGCAACCACAACTAGGCAAAAGAAAGCCTCTATCGAATTCAACAGCATTCGCCAAGGAAATTGCACCCAAGGGACCGATTGTTCACGACTCGCAATGCAACCCAGTGGATGAAGGTATCCGTCAATTGATATTCGAAAAATTACAACCCCCTCTCAGCTCCTATGAAGGATTCTTTCAACACGACGAAGCTAGAAGTCAGTCAGCGGATTTAAAAAAGTATGCTAAAGCGGTTTCGAAAGCCAAAGGTACAAGCGATAGAACTAGTATCTCTGCAGCTCCAATCCTAGAATTTCCAGGTATCGACCGACAATATACAGTAAAGAGAGAGCTAGGTGCTGGTGCATTTGCGCCTGTATTTCTACTCGAAAGTGGAATAGAAATTGATGAACAAGATGAGAACGAAACTCCAGTAATCATGGGTAAAGGAGATTTCGATCACTTCCATCGCAAATCATTAGAAGCTCTCAAGATGGAAGATCCACCAAGTGCATGGGAGTTCTACATCATGCGCCAAGCAAAACGAAGATTAGGAGTCTCTCGTCCAGCAAAAAGCATAATCGATGTGTACGAAATGCATCTTTACAAAGATGAGTGCTACCTCATTGAAGAATACAGAGATCAGGGTACTCTTCTGGACATCATCAATATCTCCCGCGCCGACGCCAAATCTCCTGGAGGTGTCATGGATGAACTCCTCGTCATGTTCTTCACCATCGAACTCTTCCGTACAATCGAAGCTCTCCATTCCAAAGGCATCCTCCACGGTGATCTCAAAGCTGATAACTGTCTTGTGCGTTTTGACGCACTCTCTGATGATGAAATTTGGTCTCCAAAATATAGACGAGATGGTAGTGGATGTTGGAATCGAAAGGGCATCTCGCTCATTGATTTTGGGAGGGGTATCGATATGAAATGTTTCAAACCCGAGGTTCAATTTATCGCGGATTGGAAAACGGGACCCCAGGATTGTGCGGAGATGAGGGAATTGAGACCTTGGACTTATCAAATTGATTATCATGGTTTGGCTGGTATTATCCATTCGATGCTTTTTGGTAAGTATATAGATACTATGGCCGAAAGACCAGGTGGTGGTGCTGGTGATGCGATTGGGGGAATGGGTGGTGGCGGAATCGGTGGGGGTTTGAGAAAATGGAAAATCAAAGAGGGGCTGAAGAGATACTGGCAGACGGAAATTTGGGCAGGGGTTTTTGATCTACTGCTTAATCCGCAGGGGTATGTGGATGGAGAGGAAGGAGGGAAGATGCCGGTGGTGAGGGGGATGAGGGTTATGAGGGAGGAGATGGAGGGGTGGTTAGAGGGAAATTGTGAGAAGGGTGGGGGGTTGTTGAAGGGGGTTAGGAGGTTGGAGGAGGTGGGGAAGGGGGAGAGGAGAAAATAGGGGGGAATAGGGAAGGAAATAGGGAAGGAAATAGGGGGAGGAGGGATGGGTGTTTGATTAGGTGGGCGAGAAAAGGGGAAAGAAGAGGGATGAAGGGACAAGGGGAAGGAGAGGGGAGGAATGTATATTGTGCATGGTATTAGAATCGGAGTTGGAGTTAGAGTTGGATGGTTCACATCGCATCATGTTGTTATTGCTATTAGAGGGGTGTATAGGATAGGCATTCTGACTGTAATTACAGTAGTTGGGTCATGATGAACACACACATATATATATACATGTATATTCTCATATTTCTGACTACCTCAATACTTTCTTTCCACCATCTGCTTTCCTCTCCTCTCCTCTCCTCTTTTTTGATTGTCGAGTTTCGAGTTTCGGTAGGCTATACTATGCTCGAGTAGTAGGTGGAGTAGGTGGAGTGGGTGGATAGTGGATATGCTATGGTAGGTGGAGGAGGTGGATTTGTTAGTTATAAGTTTTATGTTGTATATTGTACTGGAGTATTGTTGGGTTGTGGAGATTTTGTGTTGTCTGGATTGTTTGGATTGAGATTGTTTGGATTTTTGATGTTGAGATTGTTGGAGGTATGGTAGGGATGGAGGGAAGGGATGGAGGGGATGGGGATGGATTGGAGGGAAGGGATGGAGGGGAGTAGGATGGAGGGGAAGTGGATGGAGGGGAAGGGGGGGGGGTAAGGGGGGGGAAGGTGGAGTGGAGGGGAA